TCTCCCCCATACACCTTCATGGCATAGTGCTAAATTAATTAAACACAGGGACAACTTTACCTTACCTTTTTTAATGACACTGCTCATACTGTAAGGTATTGATTGTCAGGAAGTTAGGAAATGAAGTGGAAGGGGTGTGGAAGGCAGCAGTCATAACCCAAGTTGAGTTTTTTCCAGCACTTGACTGATTGGACTGTTGGAAAACCATGAAAACTCTCAGGATATCCAGTCTTCATCTATATTTTGAACCCAGGACCTCCCATATATGAAGCAGGTTGTCTTATAATAAAATGTACTTAAGATGCTAATGTAACTTTCATTTGCAGTTGGCACTATTGGCCGTGACAGTGCGACATTACCACCAGCTGTGTTGTCTACAACATCAGGTGGGAAAGATGATGATTCATTGCCAGAAACTGCATCCTTAACGTCACAGAGTTCGCATAACTTATCTACTGATTCTGCTCTGGCAGCAGCACAGAAATATCCTAAAAATGACAGAGAAGGAACATCAAAAATTTCTCAGTCATTTGAAAAAGATGAAGCGTCACAGTCATTACTAGTTACTGTTCCTTTGCAAGAGCCGGACGTAATAGCAAGCACAAAGAACACAAACACTTGTAATAACATTAATGGGAAGAGCTTTGATGGAGGTCTAGAATCATCTGTCCCGGTTCCAGTTGCGCCGCCAAGACGAAAGAAGAAAAGTAAACCCCAGACACCAAGAAATCTCACTGTGAGCAATATTCAGAAAGTTATATTCCTTTTCTCCTTTACATTAATGTGATGTTGCCTCCACTAACAGTTCAACTAACTGTTCAGTTGCAGTAATTCATAATTGTGACTTTGCATAGCATTGACATAGAGCACATAGTACATATGTTGTGCTTCTTCTCCAGCCACCACCACCCACAGAAGAAGCATATCCACAGTCATCACCTCTTCCAAGCCCAGCCAGCACAATTGAGTCATTGACGCGAGAGTTTGAACATTCATTAGACATTAGGTCTGCAACCAAAGGGCAGTATGTGGTGAAACCACAAGTGAGTTATTCCTTTAATTTGGATTCCATATATATGTTTATATGGGTATAAATGAAAGTTCATGACATGATAATTCTATTCCCTCATATGTTTAAACCAGTTGATATCATTTGTACTTAACTTTGTACGTTTTCAAATAAGATTCCACTCCATTTTTTAAAGATATAATAACAAACAGAAATGTCATCATATTCTGTATCTTTGAATCCATGTGATCAGCTGCTGTGTTACATTAGGGTTCTGTTGTTGACAGTTTTTACTGTTGTAAGATTGAAATGTGTAAATATGAAGCAATAAACAACAAAAATAGAAGATTTAAAGTTTTCATGTTGATGGCTCTTAAGCTTATGGTCCTCAGGGGTCTAACTGTATGTAATTTAGTAGATAAGTACCAGTGTTTTGGAAGAATATACTGCATCCATTTTCAGGGTTAGCTCTGAAGACTGTGATTGATGAAGCATGGTTTACTGAAGCACATTGGTTTCACTGCATCATTGTTATAGAGTATTGAAGTACATTTCTGCCATATACTTTCTTCTGCTAACATGATTTCATATTTTTTCTGAAACCAACAAAACTTGTAGCTGTGTGGGATTTTGTTACTTATATTTCTTATATGATGCAGCTCCTTGCAGGAGGATATGTAATAGTTACAATACAGACTGCCATGGCAACTCCTGGCGCCTTATTACTCATGCTGAAAACTAAATTTGTATACATGTTGGATCTGTATTGGGATATATTGGAGTGGGAACTGGTAATCCAAGGTTCTGTGAACCTTTGTTGAGAGGCCACTGAAAAGTGGGCTAATAACAAAGTTGATGAATTAATTTAATCCAAAGTATAAGTAATTAAATGTTACAATATGTTAAAAAGATTTAACTGCGAAATAATGTTTTAATTTATGTCTGTAGTTTGGGGTCTTCACATATTTTTGCAAGCCTTAGACTAAAAGAGTTTGAGAGCTACTGGTGTAGATGATTTCCCTTGGTAACACTGTAGTATGATAGTATGAGAATGTCATCAACTTTCACTTTTGAGAGTTATATATAACAGTATTTAATGTAATGTGTTAGTTTCTATGTTTGTACTTAAGGTCATTGTTTTTTGGGTGCTTGATATTCCTGTGCTGTTACATTACCTTTACATTCAGGTTCAGCAGACAGTGCAGTGAAGAACTTCACATTCTGGTTGTAATGTACATTATTTCTTGTTTTGTAGGCTTCTTAAATTCTTTAGTATCTTGTTTACTGACATATATGGATTTTCTGTTATGTTACAAAATAATGTATCCAGTCACTTTTACTAGTTCACTGTGAAGATTTATGTATTAGATTTTCTGGGAAGTTAAAATATATTGTGTTGTAAGATGCATAGAAAATCAAGAAAGGATCTTGAGAAGTACCTCATGTCTCTGAGAGTTGCCTGAGTTGTAATGTGTGCGAACAGAATCTCATTTCACACTGAAATGTCATGTAGTAGGTTGACTCTAGAGGTTGTTGTGGATACTACATCAACACATTCAGATTTTCACTCATTCATCAGCATTGCTTTGGTTCTTTTTGATGTTGCCTTATCAGTAGGAATGCTCAGACATTTATAACATGTTTGTCATTTGTATGAAGCATTTTGATCAGTTTTCCTTCTATGAGTTTCAGGACAGCCTTTAATCCATATATTTTAATGCTATTTCAGTCTAGGTGTAATGTGGTCCACTAATGCTTGTTCTTTTTTTCACTTGGTATTTTTTGTAACTTAGTGCTTGTTCTGGAATATCTAACAGGTATATATCAAAACACAGCAGTAGGGCTGTACAGAGTAAATGTCTGGTTACCATGTCATCCAGAATTGTATTCAAGTTCTGTAAATTCTGTAGTATGCTTCTTGACATATCACTGTATATGTGTTGGTAAGAAACCAGATGTCATCCTTTCTAAAATGCCCGTGTGGTTTACCACCAGGATGAAGACCGTGCAAAAGCAGAAGGTCCATCATCTGAAGAGCTTGAGCGATTGGAAAGACTTAAGGCTGAGCTCTTAAGTGCTAATTCAAGTCAGGCATCTGGAAGTCCAGTAGGCTCTATCAGTAGCAGCAGCATTGGTCGTACAAGTGGGGGCACTCGTAAGAAAGGGCTGAGTCCAAGAGGTTCAAAAGAGAGAAGGCGATCAGCTGGTGATGAACAAGGAATGATGTCACAGTTAAATATGCTTGTGAGAACACGAACTGACTCTGGAAAACAGCTTAGTGATTTGGTAAGATCAGTATTCTCAAGTACAATACAGTTTAGTCTAATGACATGTATTTTATTGGTTTCATATTAATAATCTTATAAATGCTTACCATTGGTTCTACAGGACAGAATTCTGTACAGACAACCTCCCCTGCACACAGAATAGTTATTGTGGTTACCAGCTCTTAAGGGCATCTTGGGTACAAAATCAGATATATTACAAAGCGCCACTCAGTATTATGTCATAAGAGTTGATTTGAAACTCACCAACAAACTCTATGCAGCAGGGTACTTGAGAAGATGATATTTGTTCAGCTGATCAAGAAATTTTCTGTATTTTATGGATCCTAAAGGCATATTGTACTGTTCACATGTTCTCACCACTGATCCTGATCCTGAATCAGATTATTGTCCTAGGTCTCCCAAGTGGTCTCTTCCCATTTGGTTTTCTGATTTGTGTATGTATTCCTCTTTTACCCTCATGTATACACATATTGTGCTTATCCCATCCTTGAATTGATCTCCCTAGTAATATTTGGTGATGAGAACAAATTATAAAACTCTGTGATGACTATAGGAATGCAGGCTTGCATTATTATTTGGCTTACTCTTCAATCCTGAATATGGAATCAGTGTTCCTCTGAAACATCTGTTGACTTTCCCTGGACTGCATGGCATTATATCCCAGAAGGTAGAACTCCTCATGCTGAATCCTCTGCTATATTAGGAATATTTCACAGGCCATTTAGCAGGGCTGAAGTTACAGTTTCTGACCTACCTTGATATGTTAATTGGAAACAATTTATAAAACTGACATAATGCATACTTTTTTGAGAGAGAGAGAGAGAAGTACTGGGGCAAAGCAGTTTTCTTGCCCCTAAAAAGAGATCCTGATGTTTCCATTGTTTCTGTTGGCTAAGTAAAGTCACTTTCTTTCTCTCTGCAGGAAATCTTGGAACAAGTAACAGTTCTTAACCTGGATACAGGAGAACGTGTGCCACTAAGTATAGCTGAGGACAAGTTACCCCAGTGCATCAACCCACTCTCCTTGCATATTATGCGGCTCACATCTGAGTATGTGAGCAACTCAAGTTTGGAGAAGGGGGAAAAGGAATCAGATGAGGAGAGTGTGGATAGTAAGAAATTGGAAGTACCATCTGGTGAGGAGGTTGATGTTAATAAAATAAGTCGTGCAGCGCAGCTGAAAAAGATTTTTGGTTCAAAGTTGAAGAAGACAATGAACAAGGCAAAATCAATTGCTCAGGAAGTCTCCCATGCTCGTCACAAGGAAGATGTAATGGATATTGTGGATGATGTTTATCCCGGGGAGCAATATATTAAGTTAAAAGCATCAGGAAGTCATAAGGGCCCTTATGAATTTGATAGCTTGCAGCATGTTCAGGATCTTGTTGGAGAGCATGTTGGTCCAGTTTGGTGCATGAAATTCTCTTCCTGTGGGCGGCTTCTGGCTACAGCTGGTCAGGATCAAGTTCTGCGCATATGGGTAGTCCGAAATGCCTTTGCCTACTTCCAGGTAATTATATGATTATGTGTTTGACTTTATAATCTTTCTTATACTGGGTGTCCCAGGAGGAAAGGTCAATATTCAGGGAGGTGATAGTATTGGTCATTGTCATTCTAATTCACCTAGGTCACTGTGCAGCTATAAAGCTTTCCTTGTAGCATACAAGCTTTTGTAAGCTATTTGCATACACTCATTCTATCAGCTGTCCTAATGTATCCAATCCATTCTTATACTGTTATTAAAAAAAAAAATTAGAATCTGAATGCACTTTGGTGCATAGTTGGTGCACTGCCGTGATATTCTATGGATAGTTACGCAAGTTTTAGGTGACATCAGAATTTCCAGATCCCTGTGTTCCAGTAATTGTTGAATCGTGTTTGTTTTGTATGCATATTTCTTGTCTCATACAACAGGTGATCTTATTTGAATAGAAATAAAAGTAAAAAGTCTCACTCTAGTCACACAATATCCTCTTCTTCATCACCGTCTTCTTTTTGTTGTTGTTGT